TAAATATCTCTGGTTTATTATCGTTCACATCAGTGATTTCTATTATTACTTTAGTGTAGGAAACCAAACCTAAGCCATCTTTAGCTTGTATTCTCATTTCATAGACTGACTCCTCCTCAAAGTCAATCTGCCCTTTCACTCTTATTTCTCCTGTCTTTTGCTCAAGTGAAAAAACATTTTTTACTTTATCCGAAACACGGCCGAAATCATACGTCACTTCTCCGTTCGATCCCTCGTCTGCATCCGTAGCACTAACTGTGACCACTAAAAAATCTAATGGTGAATTTTCAGGCAGACTGACTTTATACACAGCTTGGCTAAACACGGGTATATTATCGTTAGCATCCAGCACAGTGACGTGTATTACTGCTGTACCTGATCTCTGCGGAGTCCCACCGTCACTGGCGGTTAACAATAATGAAACCTCCTGCTGTATTTCCCGATCCAGCTCTTTGTCCAAAATCAACTCAGCGTATTTACCTCCGTCTGTATTAGTATTAACAGCCAATTTAAAATGATCGTTATTGTCCAAGAAATACCTTTGGACCGCATTCACGCCGGTGTCTAAATCGTGGGCTTCATCTAATGGAAATCTGGCACCTTTACTGGCTGACTCTCCTATCTCCAATTTAATCTGATCATTTGAAAATCTTGGTGAATTGTCGTTTATATCCTGAATTTGTATCACAATGCGATGCATTTCCAAAGGATTCTCAAGTATCAGCTCGTATATTAAAGCACACGAGACTCTCGGTCCGCAGATCTGCTCTCTGTCTATTCTCTCCGCCACAATCAAGTCGCCCGTGTTCAGATTTATCTCACACGAGCGCCTGCTTGTCCTATCGGTATCCAAACGAGCTTTTCGATAGGATAAACTTTTAACATCAAGTCCAAGGTCCTTGGCTATATTCCCAATCACAGAACCACGTCTCATTTCCTCCTCTATAGAATAGCTCATGTCTCCCCGGCTGGTGTGTAGCGTAAATAGAATGAAAAAGCAGAAGCTGAAGGAGGTAGTTACCATAAATCCGTTTTGCCCCATCTTGTATTCCAATTGCGGTTTGTGTTACGATGAAAACAAATAAAATGCGTTCTATTCAGTGAGGAATGTTTAACTAGCTTTGTAATACAGTTATCTCTCCGTTTGAAATACACACGGGCGTCTGCTTAAATGTAACTGTAGTGGGTGGGGAATTCAATATAAATCCAGTCTGTGGCCAACAGCGACACTAAGAGAGTTTTTTAGAAAACGCAGGATCAACAGCAATGGAAGTCAATGGCCTAAAACGTCTAGACATTATCTGCCTATTTTGGAAGTCATTCCCTTTTAATCTGCTATATGTATATTGTGATCAATGGCATAAAATCAGATTTTCCCTTCTAATTTGAGTTACCAGTTTGTTTTACGATTTACCATGCAGTTGTTGAACACAAATACTGTCCATCCATCCATCCATCCGTCCGTCCATCCATCCATCCGTCCGTCCATCGTTTTCGAGAATCCGGGATTGCTGTGAGTTTCCCAACATGTAGACTAACAATGGTGTGGAGGATCTATTGACTGAGGAATGACATTATGAACAAATTGATCTGATAATTCATTTGATGCAACCTGTTGTGTTCTAATTTCAAAAGTAATTCTGATTTCATGTTTCCGATTGTAACCTGTTTGATCAATCAACGAGGTGTTAATGAGTGAGCCAACTAGTGATTGCAACAATACAACTTACCAGGGATGCCGTAAAGGGAGTGAAAGTTAGGATGACTCCAAAGACCCCTGACTGACAGGGGCCCTAAAAATATTCAAGCATAATTGGATTGTTCTGGGTTGAGGGTCTAAAATTATACAATTTCATGGGGCCCAAAGTCTGTAGCAGTGCCCCTGCAACTTGTGACTTGTACAAATGATGCCTATGAGGACCTTTCAGAGTTTTTGGCAAGAGAGAGTCTGTGGGTGTTTTAAATTGCCTGGAACATGATGGATTGCTGTTCTGGAGGGAGTTTCTTTGGTAGTTTGCAGAGTCAGTGCTCTGACACGCCAAGTGATGGAATGAGTCTGAATCAATAAAACTCTCTATGGGTCAGATGCTGAGCCTATCACTGCTCTTCTGTTTGCTCTTTGGTCGTTCTTCCACTTCCACCAATATTACAAGCAGCCAAGGTAATTTCACTTCAGACATTATGGGAGAGAACATCANAGAACAAGACCCCGAGATACTTAAACTCCTCCACTTGAGGCAGTACGTCTTCCCCAACCCGAAGAGGGCAAACCACCCGTTTCCGGCTGAGAACCATGGTCTCGGACTTGGAGGTGCTAATCCTCATCCCTGCCGCTTCGCACTCGGCTGCGAACCGCCCGGTATATAATATAATATAATATTCAGGTCACATTCCTGCTACTGAAATTTAATTAAGAATCCACCAGACAGTCCACATTTTTGCTCCCTCTCAGCTCCTAACACACCTGAGCCAAACAAGTAACCAATCAAGAACACAGAATACCTGGTACAGGTGTGTTGGGAGCCGGGAGAGAGCAGAAATACGAACAGCTGGAGGTCGCTGAGGACCGGGTTGAGAAATATTGAGTTAAAAATAAATCTCTCCATCCGTAAAATACAGATTTTCATTTATTAATGTTGGAACAGTATATCAGAAAAATGCAAATCATAGCTGAAAAAACTGCACAATTTCCACTTTATTTATGGTCTACTGTAGTCCATATTGTCAAGAAGGGGCTCAAATGCACTGATTTCAAAAACCATCAACATTAGATTAAGTGTGGGCTCTAAATCTTTTATTGTTACATTTTCATTGACGCTTTTGTGGAAATTGACATCCAAATGAGGCAAATAAGCACCAACACTGCGAAAACAAATTCTGAGTACATGCATTTGTATCTGGCCAGTTAACTGGACTCTGATAGCGCTTTAAAGCTAAGAGGCATGGATTGGAGAAATGAAAGCCATCAATGACGTCTTCAAATAAATTCACAAAATTAAATGACACTGTATTCTATTAAATGACACAATAATCACGGCTATGAGGTCAAGTTGAGGTGTTTATCCATAACGTTCATGGTAAAATATCGGCCAATAATTCCAATTACTTTTGATGTTCATTGAAAAACAGGGATAGTTATTACCTTGAACCAAGCCACTCATGCTGATGGAGCCACAAACAGATTTGTAAAAATATTAGTACTTGTGTATATTTGTGGAATTCTGGAAAGCACTACAATTTCTACACTACTGAATTGCACCATGAATTTCAGACAAGTCTACAGACCAGACATTAAGAGCACTGCTATAGCTAAACTTCATTAAGGGTTCAGGTACTGATGTAACCATACCGTAAAATTAAACTGTCTTCAGTGATATTTATTGATATTCAGATCTGTGACGAGGAGACAGCGAGTTGAAAACAGCAGCCAGCATTAGTGCGTTATTAAGACACAGGTCTAAGAGCTTGAATATTCAAAACGAAATCCAGTCCGAGCTCAATCTCATTGACAAACAAAACAACAATAAACAAACCAGAAAATACACTATAAACAGCGTGGTTTCCTGCTCCTGTGAGGCTCATGTTTATTGCAGCAAAATTTGAGCAAACTGGCTTTTAAAGAGCTCTTGGCTAAATCTCTGTGACATGAAATTGCAGGTACATGTGGGCACCAATCCGTGCTGCACTGCTGGAGCCACGACCTTCGCTTGGCAATTCTGTGCTGGCACTGCAGAGCGCAGTGTCCGGCGCGAACATGCCCCTACCTACCACTGGGGTCACCAAGGTCAAGTCCTCAGTATTTATAATACAACTGCAATAACTACGGCCCATTACAGGGCACAACTATAGGTAGTGCTAACACTGTTCACCTCAGTATTTAAAAAATCCTGGGTACAGCCCTGGGCGCGAACCATCCAAGATAAAGAGAAATAAGTTTGCCAAGTCAGTGCCAACTCAGAAGACGAACTTCGACTGGCACTGGTTGCACCATTATAAGAACTTTTATGTATTAACATAACATTTACCTGAGGGGGCTGTAATATGTCAGTTCGATCCTCTTCACAAGGCTCACCTGGACTCTTCCTCATAGTCTGGTCCACTGGCAGAGTGTCATTGTAAGATGTGACGAACTTGAAGTCACTGGTGCGCGAGCCCGTTGTCAGGTACGTGTCATAATTATAAGAGCTGCGCAGAGTT